AGCTCAAAATTTTGAACTCAATGCCCTTTTGTTTCTCACAATGGATTCCAAGAAGCACTTGCTTCTCTGCAACTCTTACTTCAATCTTTGGAAGTACTTCATCGGTCTCATGGAAATCGTCATTTTCGCCAACCTCAATTTTCTTTATGGATATTACTGAAGTCTCTTTTTCCAGTTTTGTCACGCGTTCTTGAAGTTGTTTCACGTATCTGATAGTTTCCTCAAGTATAGTCACTTTGTCTAACTATATCCAATTCACAGTAAGACACTACATCATTAAAAATAAAATTTAAGAAAGCGAGGATATGCTTAATTATGCATGGAATGGCTTATATTTTGAGGGGGCCAGGGAAATTTTGTTTAACACTCGAAAAGATCATCACCTAATTCACCAATTCCCTCTTCTTAAACACGAACTGAAAATGTTTTTTTTTTGGGACATCAGAAGAAAAACATGAATGAATAGTAATTAATTGCATGTCCCCAAATAAATAAACATAAAAACATGGGAATTAACAATTGTAAAAATTTTGAAGTACAAGGAAAAAACTGACCTTCTTCAAGCCGGGAATAGTTGCAGAAAGTGCTGCGAAGCCCTCTGTAATTTGGCGTCGCCTTCTCCTCTCTGCCATTATGTGATCCATTACTGTTTCCGAAGACCTTCTTTTCTTCTTACAACTGGGTTCATCGTTATGCCTCGCTCTGGTGATTCTTTTTGACGAACAACGTTTCTTATTGGAGTCTTCTTGTTTTGAGATTATTGGTTTCACGTCGTGGTTATCAAATGACAGAATGCACGCCCGAGGAGACATGATCACTTGGTCGCCGGAAGTGATGCCTTTATTTTCAGTTTCTTTTTGAGAAGATAATACAGTTTCCAACAACAGAGGATCTATATCTGACGACTGTAGATCTGTTTGATGCATAAAGTTTCTGAGGAGCTCTTTGTCTTCCTCGTCAAAGTGACAATCTTGGCCGTGGAAATCTTGAGCACCACCCATATCCTGCGATAGTTGAAATATTACCATCAAATATTTGAAGTGCGATCAAGCTAACAAGTTTTGATATATACTATTTGAATCTTGGTCTTACTAGATGTTGGTGAAAACCAGCATCCCATGACTCCCGATCCATTAATTAGACTTCTCTCTGATGAGATCAGAAAATATATTGATGAGTATTACCTCGAGACTATACTTCTCCAACAAGCGCTTAAAATAATAAAGAATCTGTCTAGTCGGGTGTGTGCGTGTGTGTGTGTGTAGAGAGAGAGAGAGAGAGAGAGGACGTGGATGGATGAAATTAATATGAATTAGTATTATTTGCCAATAATTGACCATGAAGAAGAACGTAGTGGCCAGGATTATTCACCAAAAAGAGAGAGGATCGGCAAAGACTATATATTGATGTGCTCGGCTGTATATATTTCCTCATTATATATGAAAATGATCATCCATATAGGTGTATATATCCCTGTTTTTATATATATGCATGACTTGCCATATACAACTTTTAGACTTTACACTCTTTTCTTGTTTATCGTTTAGCATGCACTAAAGTTGCCTCTTATTGGTGAGGCCCGACTGATCCTCTCCATAAAATAGACTTCAATGTCCTGTGGCTATTGTTTATTTGATGTTTCTAGTCTCTCCTTAAGAAACTGTACGATTGCAACCATTTTACTTTTAAAACAAAGTCGATTATATAGATCATGCCACATCCTGCGATAATTGTGCCTGAACGTGAAGCACACCGTGAGATTGATAGAAAACGACCTCAGCAAAGATCCCAAAATCATGATAATGACACTTATACTTCAAGAACTACTTTGTGGCGCTGGTAAATCGTATTGATTTCAACCAGTGCACCGGTTCCCGTGTCCTATAGTAGCTCTATATATGCCTCCGTTTGTCAATTAACTTCTGGTAATTTTGACAAACGTGTTTCTTGAAAGGAACAGAATCAGTGGATCTAGTTCATGGGATTACAACTGACACATGAGGGCCTTCATTTGAGTAACCTAATGACAGCTAAGGATCTTAACTTTTTAAGAATTCCCCAAAATAACTATCATTTCGAAGGTTTGGCTTTGTGTGAAAATATACCTTTCCTCTTGTATTTATAAGAAAATTTTGGGGCAGTTCTCTTAATCTTATTTATAAGAGACAACAATGTCTTGTCTGAAGTATTTATTAAAATTTCCCTTATATATATATCCTTATTAACAAAAGAAGAATGATATTTTACAATGAACCTAGTCAACTCCATATAATGATGATATTTTTGAAAAAAATTGTATGTGCATTATATTTATGGCATATGATTTAATTTTAACCATCTTTGATCTTGATGATTCCGTTATTAGTTCCTTACAGAAAGGACCGGATCTAAGGTAGTACATGTCTACATATATTAATGGTATTTAAGGAAAATATCAACATTTTTGTTGAAATGTAGGTTATTTATTTTTTTCAAATTTATTCGCACGACTCCCATGTGATTTAGAACGCCTTGAAAGACCTCCTTGAAGCTAGCTTGTGGAGAGAGGCGTGGAGTTTGCCAGCTGTGCCGCCAAGTAAATTCTTATATATGTTTCCTGCTTTCATATACATGATAAAAATCAATGCATTGTGAGACCTTTTATGTGCAACAATATCTAATAACATTTCCTTTTAGAAATTTGATAATAATGACCACAATAATTAAAATCCATACTAAAGAATATGTTCTATAAGCTACGAAAGGAGTTGGCTTTGGCGGGAGGGCTTAGTTTCTCAAATGTGACGAATTGAAATTTGAATTTTCACGAGAAAAGTGTTTACATTTAGTGTCTAATTGTGTCTTGAATAGAATTAGTTTCAATAGGAGAATACTAGAGTAAAAATTAAAAAAAATGTTCTAAACTTACCCTGTTATATGTATAAACTTGTACACCTGTGGCCGTTATTAAGTATGATATTATTGTAGATGGCAGAATATTCAAATGTATTTAATAATTTTTAATTATTATTATGAAGAAGCAGCTAATTGATTGTCATGATATTAAAACTCTCACAAATATGAGTGTGCCACGTATAGTTCCCCACTTTTTTTGGTTATCTATTTCTTAAACCATTCCTTTAAAACCTTACTGGCTCATGTGAAAGTGGTGCTGCGGAATGAACATGATAAAAGTTACATACTCTTTATTAAATTGTACTCAAAATCATTGGTAACACAAAATCACGTGTTCTTAACATAGTGGTAATAATGAAAATTTGACACATGCTTCGACAACAAATCTGCAATAATGGAAGAAATTAACTGACGACAAGAGGCAGACGTCATGGCTTAAAAACTCGAACTCTTTGAAAAGGAATTAAAAAAATTTAACATCACAAGTAATGCAATCTCTGTCTCTGGTTTTTTTTTTGCCAACCACCACGAGTAATACAACGTAATGCTAAAGTAATGTTAAATAATAGAGAGACTGAAAAACGAGGAATAGTTTATGTTGTTATAATATAATCCAAATATTAGTCATATACAAAATACGGGAGGTTACGTTTGAATAGCCCAGTTTTGACAAAAATTTATAATGAAAGATTTTAAAGATTTAAATTATACTTAAGAACCACAAAAGAACCTACTTTTCTCGTAAGGGAACGAAACAATCCTGAACATCTCTCAGTGCGATCACTTTATAATGCCAAGGGTTGAGAAACAGGATTACATTGTAATAAAGCAAACATAAAATTTGATAGTGATGATCTGTCAAGTCTCTTGTAAATTAAGGAAGATTATGGAGTGATTTTCTCAATGATGAGAGCTAAGAAAAAAGAAAATTAAAAACCAACAATCTTCACAGGTTCGTCTAACTTAAAGAAGCACGAGCTATTGTAGTAAAAGAACTTAATTGAAACTTGACTTGATAGGATAATCAGATAATAAAAGTCTATTGTACTTAATCATTACAGGAATATATATATATATATATATATATCAGATGATAACTTTTGAGGGAAAATGTTTTGGGATATTTTCGTCCATTTCAAACATCATAGGTTCTTTCAATTCTTAAGAAGAATTCCAGTTCTTAGGCCCTTCGTTATAAATTTTATCGAATCCAGGTCCATAAATATAATTTTCTCGATCCTCCTAATATGGACGCAAACCAGTCACTTACCCACTTATTTTCTATCATTTTCATCAGCAACATAAATAATTAAATTTATCAGACATCTCGTTCACACTAACACGGGTTTCTTCCCTTTTATTTGGATTGATCTGATCTCCATCTGTTTTGGCTTTTAGTTTCTTATGATTTTTGTTAGTAAAAAATAAAAAGAAGGGGAAAAAAAAGACTTTTGGGGCAACGTAATTAGTCTTCGTGCATTGAACATCGTTTGAAATAGAACCATATAAAATCACTAGGACGATTAGGAGGTTTGTCTTTTGCTTTCTACTCTTATTCAATCCTAAATATAGGTTATTTTTTAGGGGATTTTTTAATCCTAATTATAATTCACGTTGCGTATTTTTATAACGTTAATTATTTTTTACATGTATGTCTTTAATTAATATGAAAATTAATATAGTACAAAAGTAGCGACAACTTTAATAATTTAATTAGTTTTGAATTATTTTCTTGATACGTGTCAATGAACTTACAATTTTATTTATGACAGGGGGGAGCATGAACTAGCATCTCATATATAGATTCTCCCCTATAAATTTTTATTCCTTACTTTATATGAATTACTACTAAAGGTATCAACCTACAAAAAGGGTCATGCGTTGGTAAGGATGGTAGTTCTCTAAAAAAGAGTAAGGAAATACTAAAGAAAACATTCAATGAAGTTGCAGAGCAGGACTTTTTCATCAATAATTTATCTAAAATTTTTGTCATTAATAGAACACAAAGCCGTTGTATAATCCATATAGCCAATCTAAAAATTTCAAGATTTCAAATTGAGTTTCCCAAATCAAACACAAGTCATCATCATAATAGTATGGTATGATTATTTGCACATCGCTACTTGCGCAATAATAGTAATGCTACGAGTGGATTTTCCAAATGGCAAGACGCTGCTACTGGAGACAGAGAGGTGAAAATTCTCAAGCAAACTCAATATTTTGAACTCAATGCCCTTCTGTTTCTCGCAATGGATTCCCATAAACATTTGGTTCTCTGCAACTCTAACCTCAATCTTAGGCAGTTCTTCATTGACCTCATAGAAGTCGTCGTCATTCTCACAACACTCAATTCTCTTTACGGCTGTCAGTGATGGATCTTTCTCTAGTTCTCTTACACGTTCTTGAAGTTGTTTCATGTATTTGATAGCTTCGTCCAGTATAGTCACTTTGTCCAACGGCATAAATCCAGCTCACAATAAACTACACTTTAATTAAGACAACTTAGCTACACCAAAAAAAGCATACCATGGCATGGAATTATTTAACTTTCTAGCAAAAAAAATGTCTTTTTAAACTTAGTACTACGTAGTCAAAAAGTTTGATCTCCACCTAGACAAATAGATTATATAAACCTCCCGCAAATTTGTTGAATATATAAATAAAGTAATTTTTTATGCCATATATGTCCCCCGAAAGGCATCAAAAGAGGTATTAATTAATTAATTAATTGTAAATTTTGGAGAACAAGAAACAAACTGACCTTCTTCAAGCCGGGAATATTTGCAGAAAATGCAATGAACTTCTCTGTGATTGTTGTCTCCTTCTCCTCTCTGCCGTATATGATCCTCTCCTTTGTCTCTGAACGCCTCCTTTTATTATTCTTTGGCTTCAACTTTGTTATGCCCCACTCTGCTCTTGGGGATGAACAGAGTTTCAGTGTATCAAATTCTTCTTCTTTGTTTCGTTGTGATTGGTTTACGGCCGAGTTATCAAGTGACCGAACGCATGCGGTAGGAGACCATCCCGTGCTGCTGGAATTAGAGCCGTTATTTTCGGTTTCACTCTTTGAGAAGACGATACAATTTCTGGACCATGGAGTATCCAAATCCGATGAACAATGACCACCTGGTTTCTGCACAATAATGTTCCTCAAAAACTTTCCTCGTCCAAATTCATCGTCGCCTGACAATCTTGGAATTCTTGAGCATCATCCATATCGTGCGATCACAATTGAAATATTATAACATCACATTTGAAGAACTACTCGAGTCAATAAAAAGATTGCGATATATGTATGTATGTGATGGGAGTCCTCGGTCTTAATTTTAGGATAGTGAGGAAAATCATTCTCCCATGGCTCCTCCATTAGACGAATATTCTTTCCCGAGACTCGGAACATGTATTTAAGGGCATGTTGATGAGTCCTCTATATCTATATATTTATATCTGGAACGAATATGCATGAATATTATTTGACTTAGCTAGTAGTCAATAAATGATGAAGATGGAAACAGTGAGCCCCACTTAGGAAAAAGAGAGTGTGAGAAAGGAAGAAATTAAAAGAAAAGAAAGAAAGAATGAGTATGTAGTAGAAGCAAAAACCATTCTCTAAAAGATGAAAGCAAAGACTGATATGCGTGCTAATACCTTCTTTTAATATATGATAAGTGATAGAACATAACAAAAGGCTTCCACATACTTCTCTTGTTTTATCTGTTCCTGCGGCCATCGTCGTGCCCGTTTTTCTTCCTCTAGCACAGCTTATAGATGATAAATAAAATACATGCAAAGAATTTTTCCATGTGGGTATGGTCTGCTCTATCCTAAACGTGAGACACACATGAAACTGATAGAAAATGGCCTTAACACAGACAGTTTGAGCCATCACCACGAAATCTGAGATGAGACTCCTGGCTTGTAAACATCTATTTCTCCTGCAACTTTTATAAATTTAACTTCCAATTCATTTCCAACTGTTTCCTAAACTTGGATAAAGAACTGTGTTAATCAGACGACTCTATGTAAAACCCTGTCGAATTTGGAGGTGTGTGAACAGTACTACTCCTGTAAAGCCTAAAGGCAAAAGTGTATTGGACTTTCGTATTATTGCTGTGGATGCATCATTTTCACCGACTGCAATAATAAACGTGTTAAGTAAAAACACAGATTGGAAGCATGCGGGCTCCATTCTTTGTCTATTTCAGATTGACACATCCATCTAGGAAGCATAACCTCAGCCGTCAATTATTATCGTATCTAAAGTAACTTTTTCTTTATCATGATTTCATGAAAGTCAGCCTTTTCTTAATCGATTTGATTATGTTGTTGGTACGTGGATGTTTGCTTGCAAAAGAGGAGGATTGGGGGGGCATAATGGTAATGCCAATAGTCGACTTTCCAAATGGCAAGACGCTGCGCTACCGGTGACATAGAGATGAAAGTTTTCAAGCAAACTCAGTATTTGGTTCTACTGCAACTCTAACTTCAATCTTAGGAGTTCTTCGTTGACTTTGTAGAAGTCGTCTTCATTATTCTCACCAAACTCAATTCTCTTCGTCGACGTAAATGATGGATCTTTCTCTAGTTCTCTTATACGTTCTTGAAGTTGTTTCACGTATTTGGTAGCTTCGTCCAGTTGGTTCACTTGTCCAACTATATGAATCCAACTCACAGTGACACTTTAATTAGACAACCCAGCCAAAAAAAAAGAAGAAGAAGAAGAAGCGTATTATGGCATGGAATTGTTTAACTTAAGTACTACGCAGTCAAAAAGTTTGATCTCCACCTAGACAAACAAATTATATAAACCCATGATAACCTCTCGAAATTCCCATTTATTCAACTTGTTAGCTCTCCTTATATATTGGAAGTTAATTGTGCAGGAAAAAGCCCGGAGTGAGCAAGGAAGAGAGATTAGAAGCAAAGAAGCTGAAACAAGGACCAACCGCCGTGGCGAATGAGGAAAACTGTCACAGTGGGTTTTGATAGAAAAGAAGGGAAGGCATTTGGTCTAATTCCCACGGCATCTAACCATATCCACCGCGATGCCCCTATCTGTCCCAAGAGTTGCTATTCTGTGCAAGGCACCGCGGCACCTGATCATATCCACGACGGTGTCCAACCCTTTCAAGAGGCCCAGTCTGTGATACCTGCGGTGGCAGATGACCATATCTGCCATTGCGCCTGACCCCTCATAACTATGCATTTTATGCCGTACTTAAAATTTAGGGTGATATGTGGGGAGATTTGTCGTTTTTAGACACACTTTGCCTTTGGGTTCATTTGGAGGCTTGCTCTACTAGGGTTTGGAGGTTTTGAAGTTGGATCTTTAGACTTGAAGCTACAAGAGATTGGAAGTTTTTTCCTCATTTTTTTAAGGTTTTCTTCTTCCCCTCTCCCTGTTTCTGTAAACTAGTAGTAACTTCTTATAGTTGTGGCTTTGCTAAACATGTGTAGCTAGAATAGTCATCCTAGGGTTATTTTGATCTATTGTATGGATTAAGACTTGTTTTAAACTCACTCTTTGTGTTAATGATAAGGTTTTGTTGTTTCTACCTTGAGCTTAATGCTTCCTTGTGTCTGGCCATCATTTGGATGATTAGTTGATTAGTTGAAGCTTAAGAAAGTAAATTACTCTATGAACTTGGTAAAAATGTGCTAGTCCAGAAATTTATCTTATTGAATGGAAGGTTTGTTGATAGAATAGAGATATATATCTTAACATAGCATAGCATAAAAAGGTTTTGGTTTTCGATGTGCAACCTTTTTCAAACAAATGCAAGAAATTGCTCTATTTTTTGGGATTGCAAAAATTTGGTTTTGACTTGAGAAAGCTTAATCAATTCTGCGAACCCTGGCTAACTGAACTTATTGTTAACTACTACTAAGAAGTGATTAATCAAGTTTTATGAAGTATTTTAGTGAAAAATAACCCTAGACCCTTATTTGTCTCAAAGTCAAGTTGATTTCATATTGATTTAAATCATTGTTTTCCTAATCTCATTCACAAACTCTTTTACAACTTTTGCTTTACTTAACCTAGTCAAGAACACAATTATGACTTTTAACTCATGTAGCCTTAATCTCTAAGGGAACAATACTTTTTATGTTACTTGCAACTTGTCCGCTTGCGGTTGAGCTATTCGGCGAACAAGTTTTTGGTGCCGTTGCAAGGACTAACGACAAGATTGCTTGAGGTTGATTGTCTTTATTGTGTGATTGGTTACACTTAACTTTCTTTTAGCATTTGTAGAGAGTTATAGATAGAATAGTAGTATTTACTTTGTTCATTTCATTTGATAAGTTTGATACTCTTGTGTTTGATTTGACTTTGTAGATACTTCCTGACGCATGCAAGGAAATCTGGAAGTTATCTTAGAAGAGGTTACTTCTAGTTCAGGAGAAACTGAAAACATACTAGAGATTCGAGTACTTGGATAAAGAAAAGATAGCGGAACAAGATGAGAATGACTTGCATATTCTGGATGACTATTTGGATAAGGAAGGGTAGACTTTTCATTCGAGTATCTGGCTACCAGACATTCAAGCCAGGAATTTTGAAATCAAGCCAGTTATGATTCAACTATGGGGATAATTGGCACTTTTGAAGGGAATTTCAGTGATGATCGTAATGAGCACTTGACCAAGTTCGTGGAAGTATGCGAGAACTTCAAGCAAAATGGGGTTACTAAAGATGCTTTGAGGTTCAGATTGTTCCCATGTCTTTATCTCACAAGGCGAAACCATGGTTGAATTCCTTGCTGGAACATTCGATTAAGACTTGGGATGAGCTTGTGGCAAAGTTCAAGGCCAGATTTATTATAAAGGTAAAAGAAACGAGCTATATTAAGGGGTGAATTATTTTCTTTTGAGCAGTATCTGGATGAGTTATTCTATGAGGCTTGGGAGAGATTCAAGGATATATGGAGAAATTGTTCAAATCATGAGTAGAATAAATATGTTCTAATGGAATGGATAAGAGGCCATAGTTTGTTTTGACAAGGAATTTCTTGTAGCTTATAACTTTCACCAGGTCCCTCGGCAAATTTCTTGAAGAGTTATTCATTATCCAAGTTAAGAAGTTCCATAAGGACAATATTTTGAATCAATTATCACAATTAATACCTAACACCAATGAAGTACGAACAAGATTTCTGTCTTTTAATCTTGGGTTAAGGTACATCTAGCATCATGAAATATTTTTTAAATACATCCAACACCTCAAAGTATTTTATGGTGCATCCACCACCCTAAAGTATTTTTTTTTATCCTTGATATCTGGATGTACCAAAAAATATTTTTGGGTGCTGGATGCACCTAAAAAAATATTTTAAAGCATTGGATGTATAAAAAAAATATTTTACAGTGCTGGATGCATTAAAAAAATACTTCAGGATGCTAAATAGATCACAAATATTTTAGAGTGTCGGAATGCAGTTGAAATTTTTTTTTTGGGATATTG